GCACTATGGGGCTGTCAGTTGTGAAGGCTGCAAAGGTTTCTTCAAAAGGAGCGTGAGGAAAAATTTAACCTACAGCTGCCGGAGCAACCAAGACTGCATCATCAATAAACACCACCGGAACCGCTGTCAGTTCTGCCGGCTGAAAAAATGCTTAGAGATGGGCATGAAGATGGAATGTAAGTAACAGAAGCAGGACCCACAGGGGTAGGGAGCGAGCGAGAGGCTGTTAGGTATGCTGGGCCTGAACATCGCCTGAGTACAGAACGCCCCTCCCTTCGTTCTGGTTTACTCTGGTCAGCGAGGTTACTCAGCAGGCAGCCCGTGGAGGGGGAGCTGGTCCCACATCCGACCCCTGCTCTGCACAGGGACAGGGGCCTGGAGAAGCACGCAGCCTCCTTCAGCCTCAGGGGTGCTGTCTAGGCCCTGGAGCCCCTCGCTGTGACAGCCTGCTCGGAAGGACTGAGCGAGCCCCGTTACTCACTGGGTCTGGCCTCTGTGCTTTCCTTTGGGGCTCAGGCCCTCTGCCGAGGCTCCAGGCAGCAGGGGTCTGGAGGGAGAGCCGGTGCCCAGGGTGCAGGGCACCAGGGGAGGTCTTAAACCTTTCATCTGACTCCTGTGGCCAGAATTCTGGCACACAGGAATTCCAGAGCCAGACGCTCATTCCAGGAACCAGTCAGTGTGGGTGTTAGCTCCCTAGCTGGTCGTGGGGACAGGGAGACCAGGCTCCAGGGTAAGCAGCGACGAGAAGACCAAGGAGAGTGGGGTTGGGCGGCCATGCTGCACCCGAAAAGTGGAGGCTTGCCATAGCAGGACACACGCCTACCGGGCCAGGCTGGGGCCTGGGACCCGGGGCTGCAAGATACTTCTGCATGTTCCCCAGGAAGACAGAAAGCCAGGCACCTTCGGCACTCGTGTGTGTGTTTCTAGCAACAGGAAACTGCTGCAGTCACTGGGCAACACAGGGAGATGTGTGCTTTGGAAAATCAGAGCTGTCAACCTGGTACCTGCTGAGCCCGGGTTTGTGTCTTCCCCAGTGACAGTGCTCTTTCAGACCCAGGGGAAAGAGCTGCCTCACTGCGGGGCGTGGGCCAGCCCACACTGCCAGGCTGTCTCCGCGTGAATAGTTCTGCTCAGAGCAGTGGCTGCAATCAGTTTTCTGTGAGCCCGGCTCTCCGTGTAAATTCAAGACCCAACTGGACTTCCATTTGCTTAGCAGGAGATCTGAATTCCAGTCTCGGGTTCATCCCTTCTGTCTTTCAAAAAGGTCTCTGTTTTCATCTGTTGCTTCTGGCTCGTACACGGGTCTTAAACTAGACGGCCTAAGGGAGAGGTCGCTAACTGTGGTGTGATGCCGCACCCATCCGTAGCTGGCAGCTGGTCAGGCTCGCGTTGGAGATGAGGGTGATTCCTCTGTCCTCGCGGCGTGGGACAAGGGGTCTGCCGGGAGCCCACTTGAAGATAGGCATTTGTTTTCCTGGGGAGAGTCCATTTTGTTAGCAGGAAGAGGCGACAACCCAGTGCACTCAAGGTTGGCCCCACAGGCCTCACAGGCACTGGGCTGCAGTTCCTTCGTGAGCAGCCACTGCCGCCAGCAACTCCCTGTATGCCTTTAGATTGGCCTGGCCTGGTTTGTCTTTGAACCCGTCTCCCCTTTGCAAAGTCCACTGTGAAAACGGAACTAAACAAGTCTACCACCAGAGCTCATCATCCCCACAGAAATGGATTTAGCGAGACCCCTTACTTTACCACCAGGGGTCTGACTCCTTGATTTGAAGCTTTTCTCTATACATGAATATTTATGTTGTGATTTAAGCTGTGCAGAGTGAACGGAAGCCCTTTGATGTGCAACGGGAGAAGCCAAGCAATTGCGCTGCTTCGACTGAGAAAATCTATATCCGGAAGGACCTGAGAAGTCCTCTGATAGCCACTCCCACGTTTGTGGCAGACAAAGATGGAGCAAGGTCAGTCTCTGGTCTCACAAAGGCAGCACTACCGTCAGCCTCTGATGGGAGGAGGCCCAGAGGTCCCCTGGAGAGGGCACTCCTGTGGTCACTGCCCCGCCACAGCCTCCTGCCTTGTCTTCCTGTCTCTGGGGCTCAGAATATGTCCTGCAGCTCAGGCACCGTCATGCAGGAAAACGACGGTTCTGAATTGAAGGTGGGGACTTTCTGGCAGTACAGATGAAAGGCGTAAGGTGAGATGAGGCCCCACATAGTGTCACAGGTAGTTTCTACGTCCTTTTAAATGTAATCTATTGAACTTACTGTAAAAGAAACGCGAAAAGGGGAAACAAAAAACCCTAACTTTATCATAGGGAGAACTGAAGTCGAGGGTACCTTGGTGATTTTTCCAAAGACCGAGTTAGCTTTTTTTTGGCGGAATAGCCATAAGTCCGTAGTCAGTGCGGACAGCCCTGGGGATGTGCGTGTGTGTCGTCCTGTCTCGGCTGTAGGCCCGACTTCGTGCAAGTTCTCATCGCAGAGGAAAGGGGGCTGTTGAGTTACACAGCGGACGAGTCCAGTTCTAGCTTTGTACCACTCAGATGCTCCTTGCAGCTGTGGAAGGGAACGGAGGATGCAGTGTGACCGTGCTGTGCATAAGATGTTGGAAGCTACTCTGGGTTTCTTTATGTCTTAAATAGACAAACAGGTCTTCTTGATCCAGGGATGCTTGTGAACATCCAGCAGCCTTTGATACGTGACGATGGTACGGTTCTCCTGGCCGCGGATTCCAAGGTGACGTTCTCTACTCATGCTTCTCCTGTATGTCGACAGCGCAGGCTGCTTCTGTGTCCCCCTCCCCTACTCTGGGCCTTCCGAGAGCACATGGAAAGCCTGGCCTTCTGTGTCAGTTTGCTTTGTGGTTGAGCCACTCAAGGATCTGTGTTAGGGATACCGATGGCTTTTCAGAAACTTCAGGGCTGGATGGGCATAGTCATTAAATATGTCAGCGTCTAGCCTTCAGTCTGCTGGACATCCCGTGGTTCTGTGCTCAAGACTTCTCCCATTCATAAACACATCGGCACACTGACAGCATGCCCAGGCAATGGCTGCTTACCCTAAGACAGCCTTCAGTGAAAGCCTTCTGATCCTCATTATTAGCTGATCTTCAGGAGGAGGTGTAGCCGGAGTCTGGCATTTTGTGAAGCTCTGCTAGAGCGTGTTAGACAGGGGGAACTTGATTGTGGGCAGAGCTGTTGGGCGGTCCAGGAGGAGAGGCACAGTTAGCTAGCTCCTGTGAACATAACCCGGGGGGGAGGGCTTTATCCAGGCAAGGGAACTCACTGTTTTCTCGTCTCGTTCCTGATGTAGCCAGTCAGTGCGGGAGAGCAGCAAGCCACAGCTCGAAAGAGGGCAACACAGCACCTGAGGGCACTGGCACTGCTGCTGCCCGAGAGCCAGTGTGGCCCGTAGGCCTCCTCACCCAGTCACATGCACATTGATGTGCACACTTAGCACACGACAGATCTCCTCTTGTGGGAAGGAGGGCCAGTTGGAGCTCTGGCTGGCGTGGAGGGTGGCCCTCCACCTCGCACTCCTCTGGCTGGGCTCCGAGCTTCCTGTCTTGGGCAGTGATGATGGGTGTGACGTGAGTTCATGGGTCACATCTGTCTTGTGGCTCACCCAGCAGAGCTTCTAAAACAGTGGCTGTTTTAGTCTGGTATTGTGTTGCTAAACAAAAACTCCTGAGACTGGGTGACATCATAGGAATAGAGGTTTATTTGGCTCATGAGTCTAGTGACTGGGAAGTCTAAAGGTGTGGGGCCAGCAGCTGGCCTCTGCTACATCACAGCATGGGAGGAGAACTCCTTCTTGATCTATTCATGAGGGCAGTACCCCATATCCAGATATCTCCCATCAAGTGCCACCTCTTAAAGGTCCCACCTTCAGGACCAGCAGTTGGCCTAATGGCTATGTCGCTGGACTCCCATTTAGTCGACTGTGGTTCGAGTCCCGGACCCGGTGGCTTAAACTCAGGCCAGGCACGTGTGCGTGTGTGCCCAAGATCCCGAGAGGAGGATGGAGGAGAAGGGATTGCGGTGTGACCATCCCCCCTGGGAAGTGATTTCTCGCTTTCTGTCTCTGTCTCTCTGCCTTTCTGGCAAGCGCACGTATCCTATAGCGAAAACCTCTCTAAAAAAGAAAAGAAACAAAAAAAAAA